AGGGAGGGGAGGGGAGGGGAGGGCAAAAAAATCTTTTTAAGCCAGGTCAATACAAAGAGAAGAAGATCCACTCTGTGGGCAACAAGCTGGCTTGGGTCTGTAAGAGAAATCCCTGAGGCAGGGAAAGGGATGGGGACCTGCTCTGGCCTGTAGGGCTCTGGGAGGGGAACAGATCTGCCCAGAGACAAAGGATGTTCAAGGGACCAGATCTGACTGTGACCCCTGGAGAAGATGGTGCCTTTGTTGAGGAGGGGCTGGAGGGGCAGGGAAATTCTTCAGAGCAGAACAGAGTAACTAATTTCCTTTGCAGAAAAGGCCAAGGAAGGTTAATCACAGCTGGGCTCTGTAAGGAAAAGGAGATTGTACAGAAGCAGGTAGGGGAGGCTGGGGCCCCCCTCCACCAGTGCTGGGCTAAGAAAGCAGCAGGATGCAAACTCCTCAAACTGTTTCTTGGGGTATGGGGGCTGGACTGAGCTCTGTCTAGCCAGAGGGAAACCCCTGAAGCCAGGCTTGCTTCCTAGCCCTTGGCCGTTACCTTCCTCCCATCCTCATTGTTGTGCAGGTTCATGAGTGCTTGGCTGGAGGAGACACCATGGCTCCTCTCTGGGTTGTCCACCAACGCCTGAGAGAAGGTAATCCCATAAGACAGGTTATCGGAGCAGCCCAACCACTGGAAACCTGCTGAGGGAAAGCAGCCATGAGATGAAGGAGAATCCCTGAGAGGATCTCCCAAAGGGTTGTGGAGAAGGGATATGTCTCTGTCCCTGGAAACAGTCTCTCCCATAGACCTTTCCCTCTGCCACCCCCTTCCTGCCACAGCCTTCTCCTTCACCTTCAGGGCTGGCTCCTTGGATCTTGCGGTCGCAGCCACACTTCTCCAGCTCCCTGTGGCTGCAGGCACGAGTCACAGCAAAAGCAATGCCAGCAGCAGAGATGGCGTGGATGAAACCAGCCTCCCATGTGCCTGCAGCAGGGCAAGAAATGGCACCAGTCTGCGGGGGCAAAGGCACTGATGGGACGTGGTGAGGGAAAAGAGGTTATGACTGCACAGAGGAAAGATGCATTCAGATGGAGGCTGCTTGGGAGAAATAGATGGCAGGATGTTCACCTGGTGCAGCTGTTCCCAAGGCCAGGAGCCTTGGGAGTAATGGAGGTGGCTCCGTGTCAGGGCTGGTGGCAGGGTGAGGGAGAAGATCCACCAATCTGCATAGCTGGTACCCAGAATGGTCCAGATGGGACCAAAATGCCAAATCTGGTCAAATGGGCAATAAGTTTAGGCAGAACGTTAGTATGTGTGAAAACACATGAATTTGGTTCAGTTTACTCTCTGTTGACAGACATGTTGGAATGTAGAGGAAGGTGCTGGCCACTCTGGGGATGGGTCCAGTGTGACCCTTGCACTCTAGCCCAGGAAAGGCTGATGTGTCAAGGAGACCCTATAGGCATACCAGAGGGACCCCATGCCAACCCTGTCTGTGTCACCTCCCCCTCTCTGACCTTGGACGGCCACCTTGCCAAAGACCTGCAGCCCCTGCAGGATGGAGCAGTTCCAGCGGCGAGAGTGAAACTGGTGTTGGCACTCCTGGACAGCCAGCTCCGCACCTCGCTTCACTGCATCCATGGCTTCCACCTGCCGCTGGCAAATGCGGACCTGCTCTTCTACCAACCCCATCAGACCATCACAGCCCCTGGGGTCCCAGAGGGACACCTGCAGGGAGGTCTGCTTGGCCAGGTACCTGCAGGGCAGGGGAGAAATTCAGTTTCAGATGTGCCAGAGCCAGGGCCATATATCTTCAGGACTAGCCCTTTGTAGCCTTATTTTAGAGCAGAAATGTTGCAGGGAAGGGGAGACCATCCTCCTCCGTCCATGCTCCCAGAGACGCCTCTTCTAATGTGCTGCTTTTTGGTTGCCCAAATTCCTTCTTCTACCCTTCTATCACCCCATTTTCTTTGAAGACAGCACCTGCCTAGATGACTTCCCAACCCAGACAGTACAAGTGCAAAGCATACTTACAGCCAGGTCACGGCAGCGATGCGCTGCACGGGGATCAGGACTGCATACAGGCACACTATCTCCATCCTGTCCGTGGCAAAACTCCACCACCTTCAGTCCCGGTGCAACAGCCACCTGAATCGCCTCCTGTGGCCTCCCTCGGCCTCCGCCTGATAGTTACTTTCCCAGCAGCTCCAGCCCAGCACTGCAAAGCAGGGGCAGCCCCTGACCATGGGCTGCCCTGGTGTGCCTGCCAGCATCGGAAACCCAGCAGCCTGCAGAAATCTGCTGGGTTGACCCTGAGAGGTTGTCCATACCAGTGCTGTTCCATAATTACAGCTTGGGCAGCATGGTGGGAGAGCTGTGACCTGGGGCTTCAGGGTGGGTGTCTGTCACAGGGAGCTCACATTGATGGAGAGAGGATCAGTGTCAGACCCTTGGCCTCTGCCATCCTGTCAGCAGGTGATGTGGTTGTCTTCCTCCACAGTCCAGTCACTTCATCAGCAGGAAGCAGCCCAAGATCCAGTCAGCAGCAGACAGAGCCTTCCACACGAGAAGAACCTGGCAGCATCAAGCAACTATAGCTAGACCCATCAGCTCATCCCTGCTTTTGGGAGACAGAGAGTTTCCCTGCAGTGACAGCTCTTGGGATTAGAGACAGGAAGACCTACTGCCTTCCTCATCCTCAGCTGCTGTTCTTGAGGACACTCCCTCATCTGCCTGCTCCAGGCTGGAGATTCTTCTTTTCTACCCTGCAGCCCACATAGCTATGGCAAACAGACACAGCCAAGCTGCTCCCTGGCTCTCTTACTTTTTCCCTTGCAGGTCTCCCTTCGCCCTGCTCATTTTCTTCCCCAAGGACAGTCCTTGCCCTTCTTCTAGGAGGCATAATGGCCTGGCTGCCCCTTTTCTCAGCAGGTAGCTCTTTCCTAAGATATCCTGGAAGACCAGGAAAATGTGATTTGTGTGACCAGGGAGCTGAAATGTCCTGGGACAAAAGCCTCCCATTCCCCCAGGCAGTCTGGGAAGTGCCAGCTGCCTCTACCACCCTGGAAGGTAAAACTCCTCACACAGCCCACAGATTTTTGCTTTTCCTGTCTGAATCATTCAGAAAGTGAAGCAGGGCTGCTCTGGCCCTGCTATGGTTCTTCCATAAAGGTATTCACCTCTTTACTGTGCTTTTCCACATTTTCCTGTACAAAGGGGTCTGAAGAGCACTGGGGTTTACCAGTCATCCTTTCAAACCTGAGCAGCCCCTCTCCTTTAGCATGAATTTCACCTCTCTCCTTGCCTTCCCAGCTTCCTGCATCCCTCCTTCTGTTGGGTCCTTGCTCCTGGTTTCTGGAGTCAGCACTCCGGGGCGGTAGGCATGTTGGGATCTGCAGCATCAGGGTGTAGCCTCCAACACACACCCCAGTAATCTGGTCTTACCTGCTGCTCACTCAGCAGTGAGGAAACACCAGGGATTGTGCTGCTCTTCCCCACAAGCTGAGCCTCCAAGAGACAGCGAGGGGAAGAGGTGTGAGCCCACCTGGGCGAGGGGAGGCAGAGTTCATGGGCTGATGCAGCAAGACCCAGCGAGGTGAGTGAACCCAGCTTGGTGAGGGGTGCTGTGGGTTTCGTGGGCTCACTGGCCACGGACTGGGCTAAGTGCTACTGTGTCGTCCTCTCCTAACACATGGAAAAGCCAAGACTACCAGGCTCAGCCAGGTGTGTGCATGTGTGTGTGGGGTGCGAGGGCTGCAGGGGAGGGGGAAGTTCCCAAGGAGGGTGTCAGAGACTCCTTCGGCAAAGGACACCCCGCCAGTATATCTGCAAGCCTTTATCAGTGGCAGCGCCTTAACGGGAACTAAAGAGAGACAAAAAGCTGTGAGAACAAAGATCCCAGCAACTAGGAAGTGAGAATGGGAGTCTGGTTAAAAAAGAGAGGCACTAAAAAGAGGCAGTGTGAGATCAGTGGTTTGGGAGCTATTGTACCCTCCGAGGATTTATGAGCAACAGGAACATGTATCCCTTGGCGTGTCACTCCCTGAATGAGGAGTCAGCAACAGCAGGCAGGGAGTGAGAAAGTCAAACACCAGCAGGTGGAGAAGCCAGGCCAAGGGCTGCAGAGAAAGAGGGATCCCACCAGCAAAGCACCTTCTTCTTGGGGCAGCTGTTTCTGGGGAAGGATAACAGTATGATTAGGAGTATCACTGCTCGTGTCTTCTTCCAGGTGTGCTGAGATTGGCAAAGCAGAAATAGGACTTAAAGTCACAGCTCCCTTCCCAGCTACACATGGCAGTGCCAGGTCACAGATCTCCTGGTAAATCAGCCATTTTACTTTCTTAGCACTGTGCCTTCTGTAGCCTCAAACATCAGGGACTGATGTTTGTGGCAAACATGCCTTTGCTTGCCACGGGCACTGACATCTCTTCAGAGCTCAGTTCTTTCCGGGACCTTGCCACATGCCAGCAGTGCACAGCTGGGCCCCCAGGCAGGACTTCAACCCCAAAGTGCCCAAGCCCACTTGGGCACTTTGGGGTTGAAGTCACATGAGAGTGACAGGATTCCAAGTCTTTGTCTAGCTAGCAATTAATCAACTTTGCTCTCACTTCCCATATTTCACCTCTACCTCCTGTTTAGCAATATTTTGGGAAAGGGGATATTTTAATTTTCCCTTGTCAGTCCTGGGGGCAGCTGAGTTAGCAAGATAAGCAAGGAATTGGCACTATGACCCAGGGCAGGTCTCCTCAGTTGCAATGACACCTGGGTGCTGCTTCTTTCATGACTCCATTTGCTGTTATAGGATGTGGTTTAGCTTATCAGCTATGGATAGCAAAGTTCATGCTTTGTGGCCAGGCAGAAGTGCATCAGGAAGTGAAAAAGGAGAAGAAGCAAGCTGCAGCATGATGTAGAATCAGCCATAGCATTGTAGGGGGTAGCTGTGATTTGGATGAATAAAAAGCCAAAGAGCCTGCCTGGTTCTGTTTTGATTCAAGCTGCTTCCAGGTTTGGTGCCTGGATCGAGACCTCAGCAGTGGCAGCGACCACCAGCCAGCGAGCTCGTGTGCACCCTTGGCTCTTCAGCAGCAGAGAGGTAAGCCAGATGGAAACATCTGGGGAGCTGGATGGTCTGGGCACCTTGGGTGCTGGTCCCCATGAGCTGTTGTGCGTGTGCTGCCAGACCTGACTATGCGGCACTGGGGAACATCTGCCCCTCTTCGGTTGTCCAGTGGACCTAGAGGCAAATCTCAGTTCAAATGGAGGCTTTCTTTTGGGATCCTGTGATGCCAAAAGCACTGGCAGCCTGAAGAGCTTACTTATCAAGGTGCCCACAATGGAAGCCCATACGGCCCTCAGAAGATGAAAGGGGGGTGACAACTCTAAGGAGTAGGCAATAGTATGACCAGACCTCATCAGTTAAATACGAAGGTCTCAGTTTTAATATCATGTATCTCTCATTAAGAACAAGGCATCCTAAGTCTTGAATGTCTTTGAGGTTTTAATCATCACAATAATCTAATTGCTTGGGTAGAAAAAAGGCAAAAATCAGGGATTAGATGTCACTGACAGCAGGTAAAAAGCATCCATGTTTATGAAAAAAAAATACCTTCAATTTCTAGAGCAAAGCTGAGTGGGGTTTTTTTAGGTTTGGCAAGCTCTTTGTTATTTCCTCTTTGTTTTCAGACTTGCTAAGCGACCTCACGCAGTTTGCGTTTTCAGCTCTGCACCCCAATGCCACATTTGCTGTCTGCATCCCCACGGCAGTCACAAGGCTCCCATGGGTTCCATGACAGTCACTGTCAGAAACACTGATCCTGCAGCATGCTCAGCAATATATTTCTAGCTTTTTTTTCCCACCTCAGTTCTCAGCTCCATACTCAGATTCTTCATAATTTTTGTGGTGCTAGGAGGCAGTGACTCCTAGTGAGATAGTGTCAGGAGAGAGGATTCCCAGGGCCAGGAAGCAAGACACCAGGCATACATCCCATCTTGGGGCATGCCTGCCCCTTCTAGCCCCTGTATGCAAGCACATCTAGGGTTTCTCACCCTGCAAAAGAAAAAATTAAGATCCCTTTGGGTTTTGCAAGTCACGGTCTCAGCAGATGATGGTATTCAGGGACTCATATTGAAGAGGTAAAAGGATGCTTCCTCCACCTCCTGGGACCCATAAGGTCAGTCACCAAACACAAAGTTCCTTCAGGATTTAAAGACAGTATCTTGTTGTAAGGAGGAAGATTATTCAGCTGTGGTACCATTGCCCTCTTACACAGCTGATGGCTTGATGGCAGCTTTTGTGCAGGGCAATGAGTACTTGAGGTTCTTTTGGAGGCAGCCACAAAGAACATGCCCTTTGCCTCTCAGACATTAACCAAGGATATTCCAACCAATTTCAGCTATTCTGTTCCCCTTCTGCTTGAGTTACCCATACCTTTCTTTTTCAGCGAGGAACAGTCAAAACAGTACCTCCAGAGCTCATCAGAGAAGCACTCTGGTCCCACAGTTTCATTGTTCCAATGGCTCTGCCTGCATACATTTCATTTCAGGTGTCTGAGGTCTTGATCATGGTATCTGTTATGGCAAGTTTGAAACTATCAGCTTAGTTTCAGTAACATCACCATAGCATATTCTTTCTTCTGTGTTTCCATCTACCCACAAAAAAATATCCCCTCAAAACCCCCAATCTATTTTCTGCTCTCAGTGATCTTTGCTGCCAATTTAGAACTCTGCTGTTTAGTGTCCTAAAGGCTGAAGGGCTAGAGTATGTAAGGAAAGACCACTTCAAAAAGAAAGAAAAGGTGATGGTGGGCAAAAAAATGGACAGGTTTCTTTCACTGGTGTTCATGACACAAAAGCCTGGGAGATTTTTACAGCAGAAACTCTCTTTACAGGAAAATTCATCAAAGGACTGTCTCTGATCAAAACAGCAGTAGGAACAGCTATGGAGAAAGATGTACTAAGCAGTGTCTAAAACCACATGGCTCCTACCCCAGAGGTCTGAAAACAACTGGAGGGTGGAAGACCTGACAAACTGTGGTGTAGAAACATTTGCTTAAAACTGTTTTTAAAGGCTCACTAGCAGACTCAATTTGAGAAAAGGCTCTTGGGGGTTTCTGACCAGGCAGCTTGATGTTTTTGCTGAACAAATTAGTAGAAGCTATAATAAAGGGGGAAAAAAATCAATTGGCATGCAGTCACATTTAATTACTGGGGAAGAATCATCATGGCTTTTCTAAAGGGATGCTGTGTCCCACAGTCCTGCCTTGAAAGAGTCAAGAAGCATGTGAACGGTGGCCCGTGTGGATTTCAAAAGGCTTTCAAAAGGGTTCTCACCAATGGCACTTAAAGCAATTTAGGGAACAGGTTCCTACCTAGATAAAAAGTGCCTAAAAGATGGGAAGGAGAATGAGGGTGGATGGTTGATTTTCCCAGTGGAGTTATAAGACACCAGTGCTGGGGATTGGACTGTTTGACTTATTCATGAGAGATGAATAATAAAATAACAAATCTGTTGGAGACATAAAATTATTCAAGTTAGAAAAGATGAGGGTTGGCTGAAAAGAACTGCAGAGATTAAGAGAAGCATGAGTGGCTGGACTTAAAATAAGAGCTGAAATTTCAGCTAGCTAAGTGATGGGAAAAAATAAACTGGACTGACCATTACCCCTTGCAAATGAAATTTGAGCCCACACAGTTCAGCGCATCCACACCATCAATGTCATGTACATTTTCAGTACCCCACCACAGGGCTCACAAAAGCAGTAGCAGAAGTGGAAAGGTGTTGAGAAGGGTACCAAGGATGCTCAAAAGTGCAAAACGGCTCCTCTGTGGGGAACAACTGTGAAGACAAGGACCCTTTAGCCTCAAAAAAAAAGTTTGCTGAGTGGGAATATGGTAGATGTTTATAATATTATCAGTGATAAAGTGAAGGTACATAGAGATATTGTTTCCCTTGTCGCTTCCAGCACTAAAACTGGGAACTGAATCTAGCAGGCGGTGAATCAAAAATGCGTACATGGAAGTGATTCTTCCCCGACATGTGATTAAGCCATGTAACTCCTTGGCGCTCCTGGCACTAGATGCTGTAGATGGTAGATTTTACATCAACTCAAAAAGCAACAGAAAAAAATAGTGAAATAAAAGTTCCCTGAGGACTACTGAATTCAACTTGGTCCCCTCTGCCTCAGGAATTCCCTGGGCTGCTGTATGCTGGAATCAGGAAGAGAACTGGAGGCAGCGTAGCTACACAGTTGCATTGTTCTTAACATTATCCCTTCACCATCCACATTTGAGATGGAATACTAGTTGTAGATAGCCCACCAGTCTCATATACATGGACTGTGCTTACATACTATACTCTCTAGAGTGTTTATCAAATACCTCTCAAAAGCTTGAAAAATAGGTTATCTGTGGAGGTAAGTCCCTTTCATCTGACATCTGTCTGGTCTGGGTACATATGTTAAAGCAGGTCATGGTCTCTCAGTGAGTCTCGGTCTCTCAGTGACTCTCAGTCTCACTAACTTTGTCTCAGTCAAGACAAAGGTCTCAAATCTATTCAGTCTGCATTAATTGCTGAATTTTGGCTCTAGCAAAAATTGACATGTTCTCCTTGAGATTTTTTGAAGCATTTAATCATTTCACTTGAAATCAACAACTTCATACAAAGTTTTCATTCACCAAGGGTGAAATCCACTCAGATATAGCTTGACAAACCAGTAGAAGCTTCTCTAAGAAATCTGTCTTGGTGGTGGATCTGCCCAATAACACTAAAGGATGGGCAAGTTGGCAGCTGTTTGCTCTCTCGTGTTAGACTTCCACTTTTGTTCAACATATTGCCAGAAACATATCTGTGAGGTCAGCACATGTTTCTGCCTTCAGTAGATCCCCCCTCTAGATCAGTGCATTACCCTACAATCCCACCCAGAAGATCTGACATGCTTGTCATACCTGTCAAGTTGTTAAGTAGCTTCCTCTTACAGTAATATCAAACTCACATAAAGGTTTTCTCTAGAGAGAAAATTCTACTTTCCTTTTGAACTAAATCACAATCAACGTGGACTCTGTGAGGGAGACCCTACTTAACCCCTGCAAACAGTTGTGGGGAACTGTGTCACACTTACCAACCCCTACTCCAGTGTGGGTTCCTTCCATGGGGCACAGTCCTTCAGGAACAGACTACTCCAGCATGGGTTCATCATGGTCTTCTCCAGGGGCAACAGGGAAATCCCTGCTCTGTCACCTGGAGCACCTCATCCCTCTCCTTCTTCACTGACCTTGTGTCTGCAGAGCTGTTTCTATCACATATTCTCACTTCTCTCCTCTGGTTGCAGTTGCTATTCTGCAGTAACTTTTTCCCTTTCTTAACTACATTATCCCAGAGGTGCAACCACTGTTGCTGGTGTGCTCGGCCTTGGTCAGCAGCGGGTCCATCTTGGAGCCAGCTAACACTGGCTCTATTGGACACAGGGAAAACTTCTGGCATGTTCTGACAGAACCAGCCCTGCAGCCCCTGCCACTACTAAAACCTTCCCACGCAAACCCAATGCAGGGAGGCTGATACCACCTGGAGCCTTCTCTAGTCGCAGCTATGTTTGTCCACATGAATCCCATGGCTCTTCCTTTTTTATTGTGTGCTCCCTTACCTGACTATGTTGGCTGTGTTTGTGGGACATGAGTTGCTTCATGTTTCATGGTGTTATAAGCAGCAGAATGAACTGAAGAGATGCAATCCATATAAACACCACTGGTCCCATGCAAGTAAGAACACCAAAGGGATTGTATGAATGTAAGCAACATAAGGAACTTGAAGTCACTGGGACTAAGGTTTGCATGTGTTGTTTCACATACGAAAAGGAGCGAGGGTGGAGTCAAATCTAACTGTAGTATAATTTTTTTTATCTGAAAGGGATGTACAAAGTCCTGTTTCTCTGATATAAAACAGTACCATGCAGTTTTTATTTTAAGTTCCTTCTAGTCAGCATTTTTCCTTCAAAATGCTGCTCTCTTCCTTTTCTTTCTCTTTCGCTGGAGCCACCTCGACTACTTTCCCTGTGTGCTCATGCTGTCCCTTTGCTGTATGCATGTGCTCTCAGTAGTGATCAAAGAAATGTGCATTTTCTGGGGCTGAGTGATAAATACAACCACCTTCTCCATGCTCTGTCTTCTTCTGCCATGCAATTACTCACTTTTCTAGTGTCCATTTTTTCAGTCTTTTGATTTCTTTGTGAGTTCTTGCTGCAGAAGCCATCAGGGTGGTATTTTAACATTTCAAGAGATTTTCTCCTCTAACTTAAACACTTCTGTCTTGGTCTTCCACTCTGACCAGGAATTGTGCTGACAACTGGCAATGATCCTCCATCGCATCAGCACCCCCATAACCACTGGAAAGAATTGCTGAACTAGAGGCAGAAGCTGATGTGATTACAGTACCATCCCTGCCAGATGACCACAGACCAGCAATCCAACACAGCATCAGCCAAGAGAGAGATGTGCCCATCTACCTCCCATCTGCAGATGAGAGGAATGACCTGTCTGTAGCTTCTTAGAGGGGAATGACTTCCCTCATTGCTTTTCTTTGTGCCTCCTTAGCTCATCAGCAGGCTCAGCCATCTCAGTGAGACCATCCCCTGATCCCCACTGGGCATGTCAGATTCCAATACGTCTCAGACGTGCAAGGATTATACCTTCAACCACCACCTCCTCCTGCCTGGCTATATCCTGATATTCATTACAGGCTTGATACTGAACGTGGTAGCCCTATGGATATTTGTCCGATACCTGCGCCTGAAGTCTGTAGTCATGATCTACATGTTCAACCTGGCCATAAGCGACCTCACCTTCACACTCCCTCTGCCACTGCGACTCTACTACTATTCCAACCACCACTGGCCCTTTGGCAGCACCCTGTGCCAGGTCTCTGGCTCTGTCTTCCAGATCAACATGTATGGTAGCTGCCTCTTCCTCATGTGCATCAACCTGGATCGCTACATTGCCATTGTTCATCCACTTCGCTGGCGGCACCTGCGGCGTCCCAAGGTGGCCAAGCTCCTTTGCCTGATCGTCTGGGTTGTGATCTTCCTGGGTTCCATCCCCACAGCCATAGTCCACAAGCGCAACCATTGTAAGGTACAGAACCAGAACCAGACCATCTATCTCTGCTTTGAAAGCTTTAGCGACAACATATGGCAGAATAACCTCTTCCCTCTAGTAATTCTGGCTGAAATCTTGGGGTTTCTCCTGCCTCTCAGCTGTGTGACATACTGCTCTATTCGGATCTTTCAGGAGCTATGCCAGTCCAGCCAGCCAAAGACCCTGCGACAACGGAAGACTGTCCGTCTCCTCCTGGTCAATCTGGTCATCTTCATCATCTGCTTTGTGCCTTACAACACTAGCCTGGCAGTTTATGGGATGATAAAGGCCCGGGTGATTGAGGTTGAGAAAGAAACTCAGGCCTCGGTGCGCCAAGTGTTAATTTTAACAATGATGATGGCCAGCATGAACTGCACGCTGGACCCCTTGATCTACTACTTTAGTACTGAGGGTTTCCGTAACACCTTCAAGAAATTACGGCGGGGACAAGCCTGGGACTCAGAGATGGGGACGCTTAAGCATCAGGTTGTGGAGAATAAGTCAATCCGAGACCACGCTGTCTCAAAAGTAAAACTGTTCCAATCTGAAAACTTTGTCCATCCCAATGAATCTTCACGGTCACTTCCTACAGCAGTATTTTTGAATGGCCCGATTGAGGACTCAGAAGTTTAACCACAGAAAAGCCATTGCAGAGTCAGCCATGCAATAACTACAACAAGCCTGTGGGAAACTGCTCAGGGTAACCTAGCAAACTGTTTGAGGGAGCAGAGCAGACTGTAAGTGGGTGAACGTGTTGATGCAAAGCTAAAGGATGAAAGGTTGTTTTGAATAAACAGAGGTGCCTTGGTGACATGGTCACAACTGATTCTTTTGGTACAGGAAACAGTAGTGTGGAACAAGGACTTGAAACAAACCTAGTGTGTCTGGGGGCGGCCAGCATAAATTCCTATAGCAAGTCCATTCTGTCTGAGTACCATCTGCTGCACTGTAGCTTGAAGCAGTTCTGGGGATCATCAGAACACAGATACGGTACTCACTGCTGACAAAGTTTATTTAGTAGCAATGGCTGAGGGAAACTTTTGACTAGATGTTTAAATTTGAGTCATAGGTCCAGCTCAGGGCACCTAAATAAATATCTTAATTTTCGCAAAGAATTGAAGCATTTAGCAACCCTTATGGGGGTCAAGGAGAATAGCTGAGTTTTCAGTACTCTTGCAGAAAATATGTTCCTAATGGTATAGAAAGTCACAGACCTTAGCAAAACAATCTTCAGGAGATACGTCAAATGTGCTTGTGCAGCTGTACACACATGCGGCACAATGGCTATACATTTACCTAAAGCAAAATGGCTTGGGAAATACTAGCATACTTAAAAATAAAACCGACATTCCTAATGGCCCCAGAAAAGAGAGGATACCAATATTGTTATCATGTCTGAAGCTCATGTTGATGTTAGTTCTTTGCACTCTCCTGTTGCTGGGCCCCTATGTAGGATGATTGATTTCAGGTCTGAGTAATTTTCACTGTTGAAAAGAAATTATGTCACAGGATCTGGCTAATGTGAAATATAGTTTGTACTGTTTGCACATGTTTTTTCAGCCTGCACTGTATGTGAAAGCCCTATAAATCTCCCCAAAAGTGAGAGATCCAGCTGTACACAGGCAGTGCCAGAGGCCTCAGTTATTCACTCCTGCTAGTGACCAAGGGTTGCCTTTCCAATTGCACTGCAAAACAGCCCCTCTGTGGCTTCCAGCAGGTTTCAGACTATCCCAGAGTGGATCCATTATAGTGGTTGGTTTGGGGTTTTTTTTAATGTTAAGGGAAAGGTCAGGAAAAGTGACAAGAAATGCAGTTCAAAGTCCTGGTTTTTAGATGTCTAAATAAGCAATGAATCTGTTTTCAAGTCTCTACCTCATGACTGCTGTGGGAATAAATGTATCGTAAGGCATCATGGGTTTGTGTTAGGAGATACAGGGGTTTAAATCCATTTTTCCAGTCTCCCTTGAAAACCCTTAGATGCAGGTCTTCAAGAAGACCTGTAGAAGATGATGAGCCTCTCCACAGAGACATCCTTGTGTTACAGCCTGCCTTGGGGGACATATGCCCTTGGTAGGCCAGCTCTGTCCCCGTGCTCAGCCCATGCACCACCAGCAGACCAACCCTGAAATCTATCTGCAGATGAAGGACATTTAATGGTGCCTGAGAGATGCAGGGAGAGAGATGGAGGAGGGTTTGCAGGGCAATAGGTATTTCTATTTTGAAAATTCAGGACTGCCATGTGAATGTGAATCATTTGTGACACTGTGCAGCTGGAAAGGAAACAGAACTGTGTGCATGTCTTCCGCTAGGGTCTGATGCTACCCTTTTGTCCTGGGATTTACAGGATAGTGAAGTGATATTACATCAGACGCACTCCTGTCCATTTCCACATCTTCCTCCACCTTCCTCCTTCCTAGACCCTTTTCCTTGTCCCTGTCCCTCTGGGCCTTTCTCCTTTCCCCAGATCTAATGCTCCATGCACCTAAGCACCGACACAGTGCCTTCACACTGTGTTTTCTTCCCTGCCCAAAGAAGTTGATTTTTTCTTTCTTTTTAACTTGGCTAAAGTAGTGTCATAAATTCACAGATTTGGGTGGGAAGGGACATCTCAAGACCTCTACCCCAACTCCCTGCTCACAGCAGGTTGTTGGGGGCAGTGAGGGCTGGCTGCTCCCTAAAGGAACACAACAGCTGAGGGCCAGGCAGAGGAAGAAGCTTATCCAGCAAGGAGAAAGAACCTGAGCAAGTTCTGCAAGGCAGGCATGGGCAGATAGCTGGGTTCAACTGAGAATCCAGATCATCAGACAAGCTTGTGGTGATGAGGCATGTCTAAGGTCAAAATAAGAAGTCATGTCAGCATCACGTTCAGCTCTGGAGGCAGTAACCAGAGTGAGCCACAGTCCAGAGATTGCCAGGCAAGTCCATTGTGACATGGCAGGTCTTGGGTCAAGCCAGAAAGCCTATCCATGGGTCTAGATCAACACAAGGCATGGTCAGGCACAGGCAAGACTGCTCAGACAGGAGCCAAGGGCAAGAGCACTAGCTTAAAAACAGCTCCTGGGGCAGGGGGTCAGCCCTGTCTGAGGCTCCAGCAGAACTTTCTATAAACTGTCCCTCCACCAGAGGGAAGAGGCAGCCCTCTACTACTACAGCTACACTGTCTCTGTCTCTGACTTGTCCCTGGGCCCATACAGCCAAAGCCCCAGGGCCAGAGAGGATGCACTTGGGACCTCAAGCTAGTTCAGGTTGCTCAGAGCCTTGTCCAGGTGTCTTCTGAGCACCTCCAAGGATGGCATTTCCTCAGCCTTCTGAGATACCCACGCCAGTGCTGAAACATGCCCTGGGGAGAGGCTTTTCCTAACTCTCACCGGGATTGTTGCAAGTCATGGCTGCTGCCTCTTGTGCTTTCTCAGGGCCACTATGAGCAGAGTCTGGCCCCATCTTCTCTTGGCAAGGTTCCAAGTATGAATGAAATATCATGTGGCAGATGCAACTCCTCTGGAAGAGGCTGCTCCTCTGCTGAAGTTACAGTATCCTCCCCAACACACAACACACAACTTCTCAAAAAGCACATCAGAAAACATAATCTTTACTTATAGTTTCATTCCTGAAAATAGTGGAACTATTTTTACTTGGAACATTTCATAAATATTCCGCCACCTTCAGAGGAAATTTTAGCTCAAATATTTTGACAAAATTATAAATAAATGAAAAGCTGATTTCTTAATGAATCTCATCAACCAGTTTAACAATAAAGAGGGCTGCTGGTCATGCTATACGCAGCAGAAAAAGTTCCTGACTTTGGGTTTCTGAAGGCTTTTCTTAATTGTTATATATAGGCAATGGTGTGCCCAGTGTGGGCTGTTGTGTTTTGTCCTTTGGGTATTCAGTCTTTTTCAGCTTGCATTAATTTTGTTTTATGTTTGAGAATTCCAGTCAAATTTAATCGCTCTGGATTCTGGAGGGGATTTGAGATATTTTTCATGTCTGATAGAGAGAATTGGTGTTAGCTAGGTCTTCCACTTCTGTGTTTTTGCCGTTGTAAGCCTGATTTTTTTTATTCCATCATGTGGTGATAAAGAAGAGCACGTGTACATGCTGTCTTTCAGTGAAATGAGTCACTCACCCTATCTAGCTTTATATGTTCTGTTTAATAACTATGTATAAAAAAAAGCTAAACAAATCTGTAAGTCCTAGGGCATGATGGTGTTCAAGAACACAAAACAGAACCACTTTAAAACTTGTGCTTAGAACAACAGGAACTACATGAAGCAGCAGTACTCAAGAAAGGAAAGTTAAATGGTAATATAAGCTTAGCAAAGCCTTTTCAACCTGTTTAAGTGACCCTCTGTATCCTACTGAGATTATTCTTGAATTAGTATTCTTGCCAAGTATATCAGGGGTAAAAGATGCCATTCGCTGCCTCCCTGCACTTTGTGTCATTTGCAGATGTGAACATTAAACAAATGACTTCTTATCAAGTAAGACTAAACAAGTGAAAGGTCAGAGAGATGGTAAAGGCACACAGAACCCTTATTCTGTATGGATCAGACAGAGTGTATGCAAAAATGCACACATTCATTAGGATTTCAAGTCTTTTGACTTCCAGAACGGACATGTCAGATGCTTCTGGAAATGGTTCCCTACTTGGATGATATATAAACGTACTGTTATGACTATTAATCATAATCTTAAATGTATTTTATACTTTCCTGAAACCCTCTGATGTTCTGAGTTCTCTAAGTCAGCTTGAAAAGATGTTTCAGAAGCCCCAGAAAAAGCCAGACTTTATCTTCAAATTGCTTTTATTACTGTTTGTATTCCTTCCACCACATACCGGCTGTGTGCTTCCCAACGCTTGATGTATTCCTCCAACAAAACATGTATTTTGTATTACAAAATGCCCTGAGTAACTTAAGCAGTGCCTGCTCTGGGTTTGGGAGGTTAACCCCTGCATTCCGCTCCCCCCCAGTCACTGGGAGCTGAAATGGATGTCCTCCAGAGGTCCTTCCAACCTAAATAATGGTATGGTTCTCTGACCTTGTGTTTTAGATGCTGATCTGATATCCCAATCATTTTTTCAGCTTCTTCATTATCTTCCCCCCCGGAGTGGTCTCACTTGGATTACGCTTTACGTGCCCTGCCTGCCTTCCAGCTGCAGAGTCCTTGATCCTATGGCCGAGTGCCATAAAAGCTCCACATTTCATGCATTGCTTTTGAAGCCTTTCTTGCAAACTCGTGTATTCTGCAGTGCTCACAGCATCTCGGCAGAGGCCAGGCTGCCACTGTGCTGATATACTGCTGTACATCCTGCTGACCAAAACCATCTCAGGGCTTCCTTGCTGTTTCCCACATTTCCGTGTCATACGCTGTCTCTGCTCTTACGCTGGGAGATATCTTTGGGCGTGGATCACTTTTTTGTTTGGCTTGCGTAGCACCCTGCACAGCAAGACAGTGATCACTAAGGGCTCCCAAACAAAACAAGAAGAAATAGTGTAATGTCATGGAAGAACCTGATATGCTGATTTTGTTTGTGGTTATTGAACAGTTTGGATGTGCTAAAGCCAGACATAGCTACCACTGCTTTAGCTGTTTGGCTCAGACAGTGACAAGGCTTCCATGCTAGCTGTAAAACCTCCCTGCCCTTCAAACACTGCCGCCTGAAGCACGGGCATCACTCTCCACTTCCGCCCCTAAAATACGAGGGAACAAGGAAGTACTTTTCACTCAGGAGGGTAAGGGGTGTGGGGAGAAGATCAAACTCTTCACTTCAAATGATGATGAAAGAGCGTTTCTGACTGCGGGAAGTTAAAAAAAAAAAAAAAAAAAAAAAAAAAAAAAAGGCGGGGGGCGGTGCTGAGTCGGGCAGAGGAGGCTCCGCTCCCGCCCCGCTGCCGCTGCCGCTCTCCGCGGCCAACAGCGGCCCCCGGCGGTGCCTCGGGGCCGGACCGAGCCGGACCGAGCCTGTAGGGGGGCTCCGGGAACGCGGCCCTCGGCGCCTCCGGGGAGGACCTGGGGCTCCGCTCCCTTCAGCACTGGCCCCCTCCGAGATGCACCGGGCAAAGCAGCTCCTTTCAGCCTTTGGGGAAAAAAAAAAAGGCAGTTTGGAAAGAAGAAAAGAGAATGGTAATAAACGCAAGGAGCCGTAAAACTGAAGGAAATAAAGGTGTGAGTGCTTCTTCCTTGGGAGTGGGGGGAGAGAGGGAGTTAATTCTGTAGCCAGGATAGCAACATCCCGGTACGAGGTCAGAGAAGCAACGACAATAAATGGATTTGGAAGTAATCTTGCCCATTACACGGCTCAGTGTCTTACCTGTTCGGAGCCTGGTAAATGCTGAACTCACACATTCAGGGCAGCGCCGCGATAAATGAAAACACACCCCCACCGGAGGTGTCGCAGCCCTGCTCTCTGAGTTCAGAAATGCCAGACTTATTTTTCTCCTTGTGGGCTCCTTGTGCATAGGTGCCACGGTTGTCCTTGGTTACGCAATGACAGATTGTTTTCCTCACGAAGTCCCTTCTTTGTTCCCCGTGTAGGAAGAGCATTGCTCACAGAAAAAGAAAAAAAGTAGCTATTTGCTATTTTTCCTCCTTTTTTTTTTTTTCTGTGTGCCGTATAACAAATCCATCAGCTATCTGCTGCACATATCTGAACTCCATTCTGCAAACAGGGCTACTGATCTTCAGCTTTTCTGTAGTATTTATCATCCCTGCATCCAATGGCTTCATAAATTTGAATTAACTTCTTCCTCAAGAGGCCCATTAGCTGACACAGTGTTATTGCTATTTTATAGGCAGGAAACTTAGTAGCTCAGATGTATGTTCTGAACTACTTCGGATGTCACTTTTCAGAGTGCTACATAACACATATCCATTGTGTCGGTCCTGCTGATGTCAGTCACAAATACAAGACCTAAGCAATTCGGTGAACGAAACACCAAAGACTCACGACAAGAGCCTCTATAGGAAGGACCAAAGGAGTGGTGGCTTTGGGGGACAATTTCTTGCATGTGCTGGTGCCCAGGATCACCTGGGACAGAGGCGGGGGTTGCAAAGGTGGTGGCAAGGGGTTCACAAACACTGTGTTGTGATCAGATTAATTTTTTTAGGTGTTTCTATATCAGCATGTGACATCTAGATAATGAGCAAGGGGAATTAGACATTCTCATTGATGAGCATGCATTTGATATAATTAGCATTACAAAAACCCGGTGGGACAATTTGCATAATTTCAGCATGCTTGAGTCCCCAGTTACAGTCTATTCAGAGGGGACAGGGAGGTTAAAAAAAAACAAAACAAAACAAAAAAGAACTGTTGGGGAAACGTTCCCCTATGGCTGAGGGACAGCAGACCCTGCAGTACACCTGCTGAAAGCATCACACTCTGCCCAGCAGGATGCAGAGCTAGAGGGTGGCAGGGGAACACACACACTATGGGAGACCTGCATCTGGGTGCTATGAGAGACCTTGCAACTGGGAGATGTGTGGGAGACATCCTGCAGTAAAGATGCCTCATTAGCACTTGCCAAAATTACTGGTGACAATTTTTAGGCAGGAAAAGGATTGGCACTGTCACAAACCAGCTTGGTTTGGGGACATTTTGCAAAGGGTGGCCTGAGAATTGGAGGTTGTCTTTTTGACCTGGTTGCCTTATTTGCACATCTGGAGCATAACATGAACCACCAACAAGCACACTTGGTGCTTTTGGTCCGAAAGAGAAGGGAAGTGATGTAGGGAATTAGTTGGGAAGAAACAAGTGATAGAAAAATATTAGTGGATCTGGTGTTTGGTGGCATGAAGTTTATTACCTAGACAAACAGCCCAGGGCTGTAATCAACAGGAAAATGACATCTTAGTCAGA